TCCTCGAGACGGCTCGCACGGTTGTAGCAGACGATGAGAAATAATTAGAATTTAAAGGTGTAACAATTAACGAAAATGTATGTTTCAGGCTCTGAGTGCTTTTATGATTGAGACTGTTACACTTGCGAGAAATCCGCCGTTATGTTCTTTCTTGAATTTTCTGTAACAGACTTTGCTGAGTACGAAAACGAAAACCGAGTGATCCAATTATTGACAGTATTAAACACATTGTCAGTCAAGTGGGAGGGCATCCAGTAACCTTTCCAGTCGCAGCCGAGATCCGACATTCGGTCACATTGACAACTGCAGTGTACTTTCCAGTTCTTCACTGGATGCAGTTGGATCTCGGCTGCGACTGGAAAGGTTACTGGATGCCCTCCCACTGACTGAAAATGTGTTTAATACTGTCAATAATTGGATCACTCAGTTTTCGTTTTCGTACTCAGCAAAGTCTGTTGCAGAAAATTCAAGAAATAACGGTGGATCCCTCGCAAGTGTAACAGTCGCAATTATAAAAGCACTCAGAGCCTGAAACATACATTTTCGTTAATTGTCACACCTTTAAATTCTAATCTTTTTTGCTCGTTCTGTTCTGTTCTGCTTTTTTTTTTCTAATAGTAATAGATCTTCCAAAGCGTAAAGAAATTGTTACGCCTCGATGAACTTTTGATCGGTTGAAACGGGCCACAAGAATAGCGCAGGTGTCAGAAAAGATTTCCTTCAGTTAATTCATTAACTACATAAATTTTCAAAGGATCCCATTTTCAATCGGTTACGAAGTGAAGATTTGTAAGATCTATGAGAAGACTAAAACGATTAAAATCAATAAAGGGGCTATTTCATCGACGATAAATCTTTGAAAAATGTGCTTATGATGGCTAGGATCGATTTACAAGACGTTGCTAATTCATTTCCTAGTCAGCCGGACAATTGTAGTTACCGCGGCTAGCTGCCACCTAGAGAGCGACGCATGTGTTCCGTTCTTTGCTATTTATGTTTGTTGTCCACAATACATAGTTTCAACACCAGTTAGTATGTTATCTTTGCCTATTTTTCATCGTTGACAACGGTATCTTTTGTATTTTTGGTCTCCCTCGTTTTTAACTGGGCAACATTTTTTTGGTCAAAAAAGGGCTAAAAATTATACCCTCTGTTATCATGAGAAGTCGCCTGCTAAAGTTCTGACAACTGATGAGACTATCCGAGTCGAGTTACAGCAGCAAATTGCCCAAGGGATATGTCTAAAAGTAATACTGGTGTTAAACAGAGTATGTACTTATCGTTTTCAAACCCTTTCCATTTTTAAAGTGTTTTAAAACTGTGCTAGTTGAAGTGCCTGTGAAATTAAATCCGGCCCATTTCCCCGTGGTGGGGCTGAGAAAGGTAAAAACCAGTTCCAATTTTCCAAGAGCGTTTCTCGTTCACGTTCCTAAATGCAGGAAGTTAAGGGTCGATTGGTGTTTTACTAGTTCTCTTGGAGGATGTAAAATCTTCTTGGGAAAGGTTCCCAACACGAGTCATTTACCCATCGTTACCCTTCCACTCTCAGAACGTTTAATTTATTTGATCATTGCCGTAAAGATTAGTACTGGATATCAGTTTACTTCAAGGGAAAATCCGATAAGCCCACGTATCAGAACTTTGAGTTTATTGGTCGTTTACGAGGTGAGTAGGGAAGAAAATTAGGAAACCTTTTAAGTAAACATTGCACTTGTCAAATAAACTACTATTTATAAATAAATAAAAAGGTCCGGCCGAGCAGGTTATGGGGGGGAAAGGATACAAATGTTCCCGAGTTTTTTTCAGACGTCAGAATCCCATTTGGTTTCCCTTTATCTCGCAACGTTTATAGTACCTTCCATCTCATTGGTTCACCTCTGCAAGACAGACCTACATTCGCTATCGACCCATTTGATGATAAGCCATTTCCTGTTTTTAATAGCGCAAAAGGGCAAACGTTGCAAGCCTTTGTGTCCTTGAACGACAAACAAACATTTTAACAGAGTCGTGGAGAATCTTCATTGTCGGTTGCATCTAAGCATGGACAAGTCGAGAAGAAACCCTGACCTAATTTAGCAACAAACGTTCTGTAGTCAGAGGTTTGAATCTACGTAGTATTAGGTGATAGGTCATGTTTTTTCGCAACGATATTAAAATACGTGTTTATTTGAGTGTCAATTATATATAAAGCACAAGAGCACTAATTCAGAACATTATTTTTACGTCTCATACTGGAGACGGGACTCCTATTTTGCGTGGTCATCCGAGCCACACGAAGGTCTAGCCATTTGCAATTCAAGGCAAAAGCTTCATTTCTCAGTTGAGTTTACATACATACATACCTGTGTGAGTTCGTTAAAACGTGGCCACTAGGTTTTCGCCTGGCGCCGGGCGCAGCCCAGTGTCCAAAAAAGTAGGGGGCTTGGCGTCTTGGTCGGTACAGCTGGATAGCCCAGGGACTGCCCTAACAGTGGGTGGGTGGTTCAGGCCTTAGGGTCAAAACTAGTGGGTTTGGGAGGGGGCTGTTTTGACACAACCCCTTCAGTAAGTAGCAGTGTTCAGTGGAGTCTTTCACTGGCGAGTACCTTGGTCTTAATTTGCCTTAGCCAGCTGAATCAGGCCTCTGCTAAGAATGATGATCATGATAATTGCAGAGCTCAGTGGGAGGTGCAGACAGTCACCCATTGTCCTGGGTGGGGAGGGTCAAAGTCTTGGTACCAAGGACACACTTAGAATAGGACCTTTAGACATTCACTGAACCCATGTTTTCATAAATCCAGACAGATACATACTTTATTAAACTCCATCCCTTATCAGGGCTTTTCAGAAGTAAATACAAACATATCACATCTAAAAATTAAATATAAATGACATAAGAACTAATCTCTGTTTTGGAGATGAATTATAAAAATATCTAAATTGCCCAAAATAGCCTAAGATATCTAATCATGCTAATTGGTAAAAAATTCCTCAAGCAGCTTTTTTCGCTGTGCAAGTTTAAAAGTCTTAACGTCTTTGCAAATTTTGAGTCTATCACTTAGGGCATTCCAAAGCATAACCCCTTGGAAATAAAGTGAACGCTGACCAGTGGTTGTTTTAAGGAGCAGAATATCCAGTAACTGAGAACTCCTGGCTTGGCGGCGTGGAATGCTGCATCGTTTATAAAACTATCCGTTAAGTACCCAGGGGCCATACCGTTTAACTAGGATAGCTTTTCTAGGGTACAGCTGTTTCTTTATAGGTTACTACTTAAGTTCTTTTAATATAGGAGTTACATGATCATACTTTTTGGCTCCAGAAACAATCCTACAAGCGAAATTTTGAACAGCTTGGATCTTGTTAAGATTAGTCTGAGCTGTGTTACTCTAGACAAACGAACAGTGAAAAAGCTTACTAAAAACTAGGGCATTGATTAAGGTAATTAAAGTTTGTTTATCGCAACAATGCTTCACTCTTTTGATTTGTCCCAAGCGTGCTACACAAGATGACCCCGTGTATGCTATAAGCTCATTACATGCTAGTTACTGTCCAAAAATGAGATGGAGTCATAAGCCGCTTACCCACGAGGGACACGTGGAACTCATCAACGTTTGCCGACATTTGACCACTCCCGAACAGGAGGAGTTTGGTTTTATCAGGATTAAGAGGACGTTGGTTTTCCAAGCGCCAATCTTGAAATTTCTGTAAGTCGCTATTGCTCTTCGTTGCTCGGGGGGGGGAGGGTACTCGACCAATATTTGGGTATACGTGAGACGCTGAGGGTTTGAAACCCTGACCCAATAGGACAAAAAGATCGTACAATACAAACCCTGTTCAGGACAACACCCCCAATTTTATTCCTCTGTTTATCACAAAGGACAAAATGAACGCGGTCTTGCATTAAAGCCAGTTATTGGCAATTGCAATAGAGCAAATTCACGTTAAAGTCATTGTTAGTGTTGGTATACAAAATTCATCTAGGAACTCAAATCAATCGTGCAGGATATACCCTCTTTCCTCCGCAGAGGCTCCCGCTGGGTATCACAGTAAAAATAGCAATAATCGAAAAATAGAAAGCGCGTGGGGAAACGCGGATCGTGCCCCCCCCCCCCCCCCCGCGCCACCTTTTTCATTCTGCCCAGTCTCCCTTCTTTCTCCCCAGCCTCCCTACAACACAAAGAGGCCCCTGCGGAGCAGAGAGGGATATACCCATTAACAGACTCACACAAAATTATATACCCCGTTTAGGACAGAGAGGTCAAAAACCATACCCCGTTCAGCGTCACATCTCCTTATAGGCCATACAAGGGAGTACCCCCCCGGGCTTCGTTGCAACATCAGCTTGGTCTTTTGGGCAGAAAGAGATCGTCAATTTGGTATCGTCCAAAGAGGCCGCCAAGAATACTTCCTTGATGTACCCCATATTAAGACCTTGAATGGTCGGCCGGTTTATCTTATTTCTTCGGTGGTTTGAAATAAGAATTGCTACCACAAAAACAAATCGAAAAAAACCCTAAAACAGACAAAAGTAGAAATATATACACGTTTTTTTGGCCAATAAATGAGTTTGCAAATATGCTAAATGATCTGACGAGAAATCGTACATCAACAACAATGACCTTTACTTGCATGACCATACAAGTACATACAGTACATACATACATAACCTTTATTTCAACTCGAATTTTAGAGTAGCTACACTATATAGCTAATATCTTCGAGAAACAAATTAAGATATCTAAAAACTGAAAAAAAAATACACACAAAATAAGACAAAAATTAGTGAAAACTAATCAAACACATTGAGACTTTGAAGACGTCGCTTAAAATCATTAAAAGTACAGTTCCTTAATTCGTCGTGAAGATCGTTCCATCGCTGGGCGGAAAAATAAGAAAAAGACTGTAGTCCATAGGTTGTTGTTCTAGGCTTGCTTAGAGTCAACACATGGGTACCGCGAAAATTATAGGTCGTATAGCGAACAGTAAACATATTCCTCATATAAGTCGGACACTCATTAAATAAAAAACTCTGATCTTGTGCACTAGTATTAAGAAATTCTGAATGCGCTTGTTATACAAAGAAGTCATTTCAACCTAGTTAAGAAAAGTGGTGTTGTGAGAAGTATAATCATGTAAAATAAATCTAAGAATGCACTTATTAACTGCCAGTACAGTATTGCAAAAGCTATTTTAAACCAAAATTACATCATAGGGCAATTAAGTTACTTTGGTAATAATTTGTAACGAAACTAAAAGCAAGCTGAAATATATTTCATGAATTGTATATTGATAAAGTAATTAAAGGAGTTCATCATTTCATTGATCAAAACGTTTACAGGTAACTGGGTAATATTTGGAATCAGAGTCTTGATTTTATCATAAAAATTATTCCTAATCAGAGAGTATGAGGGACAACAAAAAAGAAAGTGATCTTCGTCTTCTATTAGACTGGATCCACAAAAAGGACAACGCCTATTATCTTTCGTAGGTTGATCGTATCTACCTAATTATTTCTATCATTAGTTTGTGATTGCTTATTCGTAGTTTTACTAAAGCCCCTCTCCCACGTTTCCCTCTTGTTAAGTTTAAGTAACTAAGGTGGTATGATCATGGGTTTTAAAAGATCTATAGAATTCAAGTTTTTGAGAACGGTGAAGGATGTTTTGTCAATATGACATGTATTCCTGTTTTATTGAACTTAAATAGCTTTTTTCAATAGCGGTATCCAATAAATCAGAGTTAAAGCCAGGTATAGGTTAAAGTATTGAGACATGTTCATCAAATGAGAGTGGAAGCTATTTCTGCCATTACAGTGTAAGTCAAATGACATTAAAAAAGATTGTTTGACGAAAGATTCTTCATATTTAGACTGAATATACAAAATGTAGTTGAGACTTTTTTGATTGATAGTGATATTTAAAGGAAAACGATTAGTTCTGATCTACAAGCTATATGTTTGAGAAGCCTTGTTGTTTACTTCTAAGTAACGTTTGCAAAATTGGAGGTGTGTCTTGTCGATTTGTGAGCCGTCCAAGGTCTCAAAACCTGGTTTGGTATACACACCCCAAATTTCACTGTTATATGTTAGAATAGGGGAGATCATCGTATCAAATACTTTACGGACAAGAGCTGCTTTTACTGAGTTTGCTAAGATTTGTGTGTCGTCTCACGCTGAGGAGGGCATGAAGAGCTTTCTCCTTGAGATGTTCACATAACACTGAGACATTTCCCGACGAGAACATTCGAGTTCCCAAGTAAGTGTATTCATGTAAAACATCAATAATTTGATTATCTACAAGAAAGCGAAAATCATCATTTTTCCTCCCACGTTTCTGAAAAACTACAATCTTAGTTTTCCGGGGATTGATTTTCATCATCCATGAAGTACAGTATAAAGACAGTTTATCGAGGCAATTTAATATGTAATCCTGTTTTGGATTGCGATAAAATAACTAAATCGTCTGCATAGAACAGAGATTTTACTTTGCACCGGTTTGGCAAAACGGAAGGATCAGATAATGTATTTTCAAATGCGAAAAGTGGGTCGTTAATAAAGATTAAAACCAGCTGTGGACTTAAGATACAGTCGCTTTGTTTTTTGTAGGGGTCGCACACCTCTCGCATAATGAGTTTGTTTTTAAGCAATTTTAATTGGGCAGGTAGAGTTGTGATGTAGGCTTTTAATTAAGTTAGAAAAACAACCAAGTTATAAGATCCGATTAAATGGAGCCTAACTGTCGCCCGTCACACGATTCGCAATTTTTCCTGGGAATCAACTTCCGAATTTCGTTTCCCTCGTATTATCTCCCGCCTACCGCCCAGGGTTAATAATATCTGTAAAATATCTGTATAAATTTCTCTAAATTTTTATCATTAAGTCTAATTCTTAGAATCGTAAAAAGGTTTCTAAATTAAAAAATACAATCAAATAATGTCATTCTAACACGACTTTTCTAACAAATTCTAAATTGTCGTTATAAAAGTTTCCAATCTCTTTATAACTGTTTCCATACTTGGCCTCCTTGCTGGATCTTCTTCTGTACACCACAGCAACAGATCCTGGAACTCCCCGCCTGGCCTGTTCGGCACAAGGTCGACGTGTTTTTTACGTTCATAAGAAAATGGAATTTTCCTTGTAAACATTTCACAGAAGAGGACGCCAAAACTGTAAACATCAATCTAAACAAAAAAAAAACATGTTTTACCTTTTCCATTTAAATGATATCGTATGCCCCGTATTTTCCGTAACCCATTCGTCGTTGCACAACTTGCAGAAAAACGTGGTCAAGCGTTGATTTCTGGTCCCATTCAAACAAAAAGAACCTAAAACTATTTGCTTGCAGATCGGAAACTACCCTTGCTTTTCTAAAGGGGCAACTTTTGCAGTTTGGCCACTTTTCAATTTGTTTCTCTCCCATTTTTTAGAGCGTTAAATAGGTTTCAATCCCGTAGGTAAGGTCTCTAAGAAAAATGAAAAACATGGCCACATTTTTATTCGAATTAAAATCCTTCTTCAACAATTAATTCTACATGAAATTTTCGAGTGATTCTAATTTTGGCCCTGGCGTTCCGCACAAGGTGTACATCACAGTCATTTTCGAAGCATTAAAATCAGGATGACGACACGAGAAGTAAATCGGTCGTGGTTGCAAACGTTCACTAAAGTTACTTAGAATAGCCAAAAAGATTTGAGATCACCAAATCTATTGAGGAGAGAGTATGTTTTCAGATTATCTTGATTGCCTCATCACAGATCATTATTACTGGAAATGACCTTGGTGTTTGTTATCCTTAAATATTACAGATAACGCCCCTAGAGCCAATTTTCTCTAACAGTTATCATGTTTTGGCCTATTAAGCAACTTGATTCGACTTGTGACCATTCATAAAGTTACCTAACGAGTATTTTACAATAACTGAGCGAATCCTCGCGCGCTGATTGGTTGAGAGCTATATGGTCTATGAGATTATAGACTATGGAAATGACGCAACATATCGCGCAGTGCCGGTTGTTTTGTTTTTGGTTTTTCGTAAAAAAATGAGAACTTTCTAACCTTTCCATCTTGATTTGTTTGCTCTATCTGTCCGTAAAGGTGGGAATAATTTTAGAGAGAAACTGAACTAGACTTAAGTCAAGGGAAAGCAATGGCTGTCAACTGCACGCGCTAGAAGGCTACTTGGAGTGACAATACGGCAAGAATTGAAGTCTGGAGGATGCGCACAAACATTGCTGTCCGAGCTTATTGTTTAAGTAATTCCCTCTGAAACGTCGCGCCACACGCACAAAGAAATAAACAAAACAAATAGGGTTTTGTTTTAAGAGAAAGTTGTGTGCTGTGTCGGTGAGAGACTGAAACACAAGAGCTTGCTATTGATTTAGTCCTCTAACTTTTAATTTTAAGTCTTAAAATTGACTCAGTTGTTAAAACCAAATTATTGTGTTAAATAAGTATAAGGCTAACAAAGGTAACTTCGCCTGAAGTATATTCTCTTTTAAAATGGACGGTAACCGCTTGATTTCCTTTCACAAATGACTTCCTTCACTGATTCTCTCCATTCTGAGAAAAAATTCTATAGGCGAGAAGTCCTTTTCAAGTAATGAGGTAAAGACATTCAGGGACATCTCGCTGGTAAGACTTAAAACACAAATGTCAGCTTTTAAATTTCCCGTATCTACAAGCAGGGGCTAGACATAGGTGCATCCTTTCTTCACTTTCAGAGCAGTTAGTTTACTGACCTTTGTTTCAGAGGAACCTTAAAAACAGACATCCCTTTAAAGGACTGTGCAGACTCTGTGACATTCGGTAACTCCATGTAAGTAGAAGCTGATTGAGCTGTTTATTTAATATTTTAAAAGTGAAATCACTCTGCTGTGTGACAGGTATTTCTATCAACAACCACTAACCTTAACTGTTTGGTTGAAAGGACTTCCTGCTTCAGGGGCGCTGTAAATCATAGCTCCAGGAGACTTTGTCATCACCTCTTGCAAGAATTTAACGGTGCCATAATCTCCCAGTTTGCCTCGCCACTGGTCATTTTGTTTCCAGAGCAACACATTAGCACTACTGACGTCACGATGAACAATTTTTCTGTTATGAAGGTAGTTAAGGGCGTGAGCCACGTCCAAAGAAATGACAACGATTTCTTTTTCGGAAAGCTGTCGTTCCCTTAACAACTTTCGTAAACTCAATTCCATTAACTCTGTGACAAGCAAAGGCGTTTCGTCTTGAGTGGCACCAATGAATTGCAACAAGCATGGATGACGGCACCTTGAAGCAATGTCCATTTCGCGTTCAAACAAATCACGTCCTCCAGCATTTAAAGTAAAGTCTCTCAGTTTCTTTACTGCAACGACAAAACCACGATATCTTCCTTTAAAAACCTTTCCGTATCCTCCCTCTCCGAGGCTTCTATCAGTCATAATTTCAATTTCATGCCGAGAAATTATCCAGTCACGTGTCATTAACTGGGATTCAAATTTACTTAACTTTTCTTTAGCTGCAGAGAGGTCTCTCTTTAGATCTACCTGATCTTGGACGCTATCTCTAAACTCTTTTTCCAAGTCAGTAAGTTCCTTCAGCTTTATACCGAGCTGCTCTTGGAATTTTGCACTTTCTTTCTCTTTCGTTTCTTTCTCTGCTCGCAAAGTTGTCAGCTGTCTTTGCAAAGATTCTTGTTGCTCATCTTTCTCTCTCAGTTGGTCTTCTGTCCTTTTCAGTTGCTCATCTTTTACCTCCAGTTTCTCTTTCATTTCCCTCAACTGTGTTCTCATGTTCCACAAAGATCGTTCCGCCCTTATCTCTCGTAAAGTTAAATACGTAGTGCGAACTAACGACAGGAAAAAAATATAGATACGTTTTCTTTGACGAGAGTTTCCTTTGTTCTCATACGCTTTCTGTTTGAATAAGCAGGGATATTACAGTACAGTTGCATGGAAGTCTAATGGTTTCATCAGGCCTGTTTACTATGACTGTCAAAGATAGAAAGTTTACAAAAACAGTGCACCTGAATGAGCATATCATGTGAAAAAGTTCACAATGTCAACAGCACATACTGTACTATTCCCTCTGAATTCCTTCATTCAAATTAAAGCAATATCTAAACAACTCGCTCATCTGATAAGAGATGGGAGAACCTGTTTTACTAATTTCAGTGAGGCAGTTTAGGTGATTGGTTATGTCTGAAGCTTATCACCTCAGTGCATCACTAATACCAGCATAATCCATCACTCACCCTTTTCCCCCAGAAGTGATTAAAGTCACAATTCCACAGAAATTCCAAATTTCATTTGTTAACATGCGGTAAGACTAATAGTACCATGTAACAGGTCAATCTGGGAGTAAAAGGGTTAAAGTGATCTTACAGTCAAACCAGGCCAAGCGTTCCCGTCGCTAACGGATTAATAAATTCATTAATGGCAAATTGTTTCCGTTCGTTGGTTCCGCAGTTTATTCACGAAATAAATAATGCAATATTCAAATCGAGCCTCGATTCAATAATCGAATGTTGATTGGATTAATAAACAAAAGCCTTGCCATATATGGACACCACGCTCCTCCCTCGCTCCAGTTGAAAAAATGGCGGGCAGGCGAAACAGTTTGGGAAGGATTTACGAGAGTGGGAAGGCCATGTCTGAAGCTTTCTTGTAAGGAAGTTAAAGTCTCTTGGGCTAATTGTAGACGGTATTCCAGCGAGCTTTTGCGGTCTTCGAGGTTTTGCAGCAGTCTGTCAACGGCCTTTTCACCGCCTTCACAAATGGAAACGGTCGCTCCGCTTGTTTCTGTCAATGGTGTACACAACTGCTCAGCGTGACTACGCGGTTTTGTGGTGTGCAAGCAGCTTTCCAAAATCATGACTTTCATTTTATCTCGGTTTTTCAGGTCTTTTATTTCGACGTCGACGAACTCTCACCACTCCTTATCATAACCCTGCAACGAAACAGTGTGCTGTACATGTATGCCAAATGTATCTTCCGCTAAGTCTCTCTTGGTCGATCTTTCATGAATTCTGTCACTTTCCTGACTTCGTTGAATTCAACCGAGACAACGATTTTGTCCTGAAAAGTCAAAGATCACGGTTATTCTTAGTGCATTTTACAGACTGCAAGAGGAAATGAGAAAATACACAAAGGTTGCATGCATGCTTGATCGATCAAGTGGTACACTTTCGCAAATATTCACAACTGCTGTGAAATCGAAACTGCAAATAGGAATCAGAGGAATCGTATGGAACAACGCCTGTAGAAAAAGTAAACAACATTTTATACTAATGGCGTGTTAAACTATAGAATAACCTACCTGCTCTATCACACTCAACTCCGGAGAGAACTCCATGTTACGAGAAACATGCTTTTCCTAGCACTCCATATATGGCACGGCTTTTGTTTATTAGTCCAATCAACATTCGATTATTGAATCGAGGCTCGATTTGAATATTGTATTATTCATTTCGTGAATAAACTACGGAACCAACGAACGGAAACAATTTTCCATTAATGAATTTATTAGTCCGTTAGCGACGGGAACGCTTGGCCTGGTTTGACTGTAATTTACTACCTTGAAACTTCTCTTCAGACTGCTCCTCTTCACCTCCTTCTTCATGAGGCGTCTGCGTTGTTTCTCCAGCAGCTTGCTCCTCAGTATCACCAGGTACCTATACCATTCAAGACATAAATGAGTCTGAACAGTGTTATTCCTTCTTTATAGACACATTCCTTTTATACACTGAATAGTCTCGTTTATTAACATGTCAAATTTACCACTAACGTAAGAGCTTGTAATCAAAAACACCTACGAAAGTTCAGGTACGCTTTGATGAAGGTGGACAAAAATTTAGAAAATGAATATGATCTGTTTATTTCAATTTTAATGGTCATAGAGGACTTTGACATTGAATAAGTGCGGGCCGAAGAGTTCTATCAATTGAAACCATACCAGAATGAATACGATTCAATCAAACCGAGCAGAGAAAAATGCAAAAAAGGAAAAAAAGTACATGTTAACTTGAGCAGACCTGACCTGACCTGTTTACGTCATATTTTGACAATTTAGGACTGAATTTCTTTATTGCGCTCACTAATCATTCAGATTCGTGTTACGTGACCGATTCAATTTTTTTGCTGCTATTAGTGACTTCAAGTTATTTAAAGCTAAAACAGAAACAAGCTTTAATGTCTGGCAGCCCCTCCCAGGTTTTATCTGGCATAAAGGATTGGTCTGGAATTGTAACAGACCAAGCATCAGGAACAGAAGTGCTCGACCGTGCTCAACTAGTAGGCAACCATTTAGCAGGTAGGGGTGACCAGAAAACGGCTCGACTAGTGCCCAACAGCACTTTTCGACACAAGTTATAGGGAAGACTACCAACTACTATCATATTAACGTATGAAGACACAAATTCTTTTGTTTGCCAGTAAATACCTCCTTCTGGACGGGCTTTTCTGTGTAAGCTTCCATCATATCCATTCCCGGAGGAATGGAGGATAGCTTTTCTTTTTCCTTCAAACGATGTTTTCGTTTTTTCCTCTTCCTCTTAGCTGCAATTGTTTTCAAGAATTTAGATTAATTACCTCTGTTGAAGTTAACGAAGGCAAGAATAGAATTAAACTTAGGTTGAAGTTCAGCACTGGGATGGGAGATTGGATGAAGCAACTTTTCATCTAAACAAAAGCACTACCAAGATCTGGGTACTGCTTCTATTCGTCAAAGCAAATTTCCTTCCAATCATGGGGTTTGCAAAGTTTTTTTTTGAGTTTGTGTTTGTCCTGATGTCTTGCCATTAAATTTCATTTCCCTTTCAAGTTGGCGCTAACAAAAACTAAAATACTTCTCTACCTACAAAGCAACTATATTCCTAGAAAACGTTTTTTGGTAACTTCAGTGCATTGTAATGGCCCCATCACGTTTATCACACGCAAACGTTTGCCTTCCTGTTGCGTAAGCTGACTAATATCAATAGGAGACTTTAAAGGAACAGTATCTCGTCACTGCGCATGCACCAAACTTTGATTTTTGGACAGGATGTCGCGAAATCAAAAGATGCGAGGAGAGTAAGAGAACCTTGAAACATCCGTTTGCATCGCGCTTGGCCGAGTTCAATACTACACTAAAACTTCTTAGGATTACAGATCAATGATATATTATTCCTGTTAAGTTTCGATTTGGGCCAAATCTGGATTTTTTGGCGTTACTTTTATTGCCGTTGGCCGGAGGACCAAAATATGGGAAGCGCTTTGATGCCGATTGAAGGCTTATTTCTTCTGCTAGCTTCCATACAAGCTCAGATAATTGTGAAAGGAATACGTAGAAATGAAACAGCAACAATAAAGACTGTAAGAAAGAAACCATTGAGACATTGATGTGACTGAGGAGATCTTGTGGAGGGAGCTTCGTGAAGCAGAATGTTTTGCAACGACGCGTTAGTAAACTTTTAAATGAACCTCCCTACGGCCGACAAAATCAAACAAACAGGCGCTACATGTTTAGAAAAACTAGTTCCATGAAATCATAATATAATTTTTGACTAACCTTTGCGATGATTCATAGCGTTGAGATCGCATTTTTATTTATGTCTTTCAAACGTTTGAGGCTAGAACGCGAGCAAATCAGGCTGGACTAGGAACCTCTGACACGAGTTTCACATTAGAAAATCTGTTTTTAAAGCGAGCGGAAAGAGATTTTCGGGTCGCGAGGCGGCCCCGCTAGCGATAAAATCGCGATGAGTCTTCGTGCCGCGAGCCAAATTTTAAATAAGACAAAGGATTTCTTCGAAAGTCTAGAATATTGCTTAAGAATATAAACAACAAATCTCCGTCGGCGGTGCGGTCCGAAAGGAAATCTTGTAGAGTCAATATGACAGTTCTATTGTCTTTTGAAGAAAAAACAGATGAGGCTCGCGCGTGTGCATAATCGGGACACTGTTACTTGGCAGTAAGACGACTGGGGACGATTCAGTAGAAGACGCTTGCCTTAATTGAAGCACAAAAGAATTTCTTCCTTTTTGTGAATTCAACGTAGAATAGAACTAAATTTAATTTGAGAGAAGGGAATAGAAAGGCGACGAACAGTATGGACAGTATTAGAACTGCACTAATGCAATAATAACTCGGAGTATGAGATCGAAGCTCTCAGCGCATGCCAGGCAAACAAATCAGGTGAACTACGCACCAAAATCCTTACCTGATCTCAATGCTAATTTGAAAATAGGGAAATGTTAAAGATTAGGCGGTTATAAAAAAATCAAGTTTTCGTCCATACGAAAGGTCTGAATAAGATAGAAAAAAATGTTCCTTCTTTAACATTTTCGAAGGAAACAAATGACGCTGATTTTTTGGGGAGGCATCAAATAACAGCACGAGCGCTCATGTCAAACATCTATTAAGCAAATTTGACTTTGTTTCAATGGGTGAAACTCCCTCAAGTTTAGTGCGCTGCACAGCTTCTTTGGTTTACGTTTTCACATGCACTTCTTTAGGCTGTGTTTCGAGAGGCTTTTCAATAGGCTTTTCAGCTAGCTGGGTATCTCTCCCAGTAGCAGGGTTCGTTCTTGTTTCTTTTACCACTTCATTTTTCTGTGTAACTGTTGTCTCTTTTAATTGAACAGTATCCACAACTGCCTTATTGTTTACTGCCGCTTTCTGAATAATAACTTCTGGTGTTTTAGGCTTGTCTTCTGAATAAGCTAGTGTTGCTGCGACCTGCGCTGCAAACTGTGCCCTGAGATTTGCTTGAGCTACTATTCTAACCTGAAATGTTATTAGGGGTACCACAAGTGCTTCCTGTTAAACTCCCTGAAGGCTGTTGATTGAGAATCTCGTGCGTCACATCCTTGTTGCTATTTGGATTCTTTATCTGGATTATTTTTCTTTCTCGTGCACGGGGCTCAAATGTTTGAGCTTGATAGTGTGGCATTCTCGTCATGGGCCCTGGAGGAGCTCTGACAATGTACATGGGTGGGGTGGGCTGTCCCACCTGGTAAACAGGTGTCGGTTGAAAATAAGGAGAACCTTGAGGCTGTGAGGGAACAGACACTGGGGCAAATTGTCCTTGCAATGGTTGTTGAGTGCGGTGATACCGCATTTGTGCTGGGCTACCCATGGAAAGAGAGAAATCAACCTGCAAAAATCAACAAATTCTATTAGCTGACTATTTATAACACATACTCACTATTAAATTTCATCACATCAGTGACAGGTTCTTTTGCAGTTTCCTCTGATTTCTCTTTTCTTTCAGGTTTGACTTCGTCAGCAGCAGCTGAGCTAATTTGTTGCGTTTCCTTGTTACTCACTTCATCTGCAGTCTCCCCAGGCTTCTTTGGGGCACTCTTGAGCCAGCGGAAAAACTCGGAAGCGGCAGTAACAGTTACACCTTTCCCGGGTTCTTCGTCGGAGCTGTTTTCCCAAGCTTTGAAAGAATCTTCCGTGATAATCTCTTCATCATATAAACTATCAAAATAGGATTTGACAAATGCTGCATACAGAAAAGGAGAGACATTAAGGTGAATTTTAAGAGAATAACGCTTTTACGATTGATAAAAAACTGAAGCTTATAATGTTCAAGAGAATTCGTAACCAATTTCCAATCTTAATCGTTTGTCTTTGATAAATGATGTTTCTACGGCAGCCACTCTTTCAGTGGTGTGTTTTTAATACTTAAAAACTGTCTGTTTAAAAGTTGGAAGGTTATATTATATTTTTTGTACTGACGTAATTGCTAACTGTAGGTTGTAGGAAACTGTTTATTGGCGAATTTATGACGTCATGACAAGTGATCGCTTTTCCCATTATCATTCATTAAAAAGTCCTAACAGTAGCAATAAAACAATAAAAACTAAAGCTATCAAATTTGTCTTTCCCGACTAGAGAGCTCTGAGGTTTACAGCTTCTTTGCCATATACTTGTGACGCTATATAAAAATAGTTGTGCAAAATGTTTGTTTTTTAGCACGACAGGGATGAAATCTTACCATTCTCATCATAGCGGAGCTCTCGCGCGCGAAGCACGCAGAGGAGCACTATGGGTAAAAAAAATGTGGTAAACTACCCATCCGAGAAAATTTGGTAATCACGTGACCGTACACCGACCGACCGCCCGCCCGCCTGCCCGACCGTCCGTCTGCACCACAGAAATTCCAATGTAAAATAATTCAATTAACAGGTATGGCAACCCAAATGCAACTCAAGGTTTTAATTGGAAAGAAATCGCATGGCCGCCCGGACTTTTAGAAAGAAAAAACAACAACAAAGTCGTGTCTTTTTCAACGTTATTTTTGATGTTTACACTCACGTGGATAACAGAGAAACTGAGCTAGAGCTAAAAACAAAAGAAGAATTTTGTAGGAAGAAAAACATAAAAATTCAAAGCGGCTGTAAGACAATGAGAAATGCTAGTGGCCAGCAAGGTGAAAATGAGCGGCAGTGAAAAATAAAAGCGAACATGAACACAGGAAACAAAATATTGGGTAAGCAATTCCTCCATAAAAATAATGTGCAACTAGGAAGTTTGACGTTTTAGTCCTACAAAACAGCGTTGTAGTTGTGCAAAACAACGGCAAAGAAAGACGAAAAGCGTGCTGCACGTGCAAATTTGTTGTTTTGCTAATTAGAAAAAAAAGTGTGCTGCACGTGCAATTTGTTTTTTTGCTAGTTAGATCTATAGATGCCATTTTCATTGGCCTCCTCGTTTAGCATTAGACGATTTCATTTCTTTTGTTTACAAATATTATTAACCAGAGCTTCGCTTTTAGCCCTGGCTAAATCTATATATTATACATTCTCGGGGGAACAGCAGAGATAAATGGGGGTCGATCTGCAACTTTTTGACGAACCTGAATACCTTAGACGTACTGTCACTCACTTCCAACTGGTTTTGAAAAAAAGTAGTTTAAAGACAATAGGCAAATGTCACATCTCGCACGTGGACCGAACTGTGAAACCTCCTTTAAACAACAGGGGTCTTTTTTGCATGAGAATGCGCGACCGCTGAACAAGCGATGTGCATGGAGGCTCACCACAGGGTTTGCCTTCATCAAAATGGCGCGTCTCAAAGCTATCATAGCGATTATTTTGCTCGTTGGTCTTGGCGAATGTGCTCGTGATTTAACAAAATGTGTAATTTGCAAAAAAAGCTCTAACATGGTCTTAACAAAAGCGAAGTAGACCGGCTTTAACATACACGAGCTACTATCAAATTTCATCTTCCCACTTGACCTGGACAACAGTGCGCGTATATGTAGTGCCTGGAGGATTGCGCTGACCTCATCAAAGTCTAAACAAAGTGCAGAAACGTTTGTTGATGCAAGTAAACACTTTCAATTTTCTTTGTTTTGAAATCGGAAAGGAAGAGAAATATTAAAAAAAAAAAAAAATTCAGCGAGTGGGTTCGAAGTGTGCGAAAGCCGATGTTCAGTTCACCAGTGAATTAATATATGTTCTACAATTTTCCCAGCACTTTAAAGCTACAAAATTAAGAGCACACGAGACGTAGATTAGTCACCTGGTGAGATGTTGGTGGTAGTCACTCTGTATGTCTCGAAAAATAAAAAAAATGAATATCAATGAGACACAGTCAAAACTGCATTCAATAGGACCGAAATTAAAGTCCAATCTTGTGACCGATTTTGATGAAACAAACGGTTAGGTTTCCCAAGAAGTACAGTAAACATGTGATGCCGACCAAAAGTTAAAAATCATTAGAACATTTAAGTTCTGGCTAAAAGCAAATTCCTGCAAAAGATGCGTGACAATGTTAGTCCACGCAAAAACAAGAAGGTCTACAATTTTCTTATAAACAGACTTTGTATCGTTAAAATACTTAAGGCAAAAACTTTCTATTCCAACTGAAAACGGCGTGGTAGTCGCCCGCTGATCGTTATTAATCCACTCCCGAAATATGGCTAAATCAGCTATTAACAAATAATTGACAGAAATCCTCTACGGCATCGAGAAACTGATTTACATCCGACTTATAGACAAACACTAAATAAAGAACATTTTGCTCAGTAGCTACGCATCAGCAATGCATTCTATGCCAAACTTTGAGGTTCTTAAAGGGGAATCAAGACACGAGTCGAGCGCCAAACAACAACAAGCAGCCATGTTGGTGTCAGACATCCTTGAGAAACTTGCTCTTTCACCTTGTTCAGCACATCAGTCTCCACTTTAAATTAACAGATCTTTACTCATTTTGTACAACGAAGGTCTTTCCTAAGTTCCTGCTACCATTTCAATCTCAAGCAAGCTTTCAAAGTGAACAATTTGGTTCCTATGACTTTGCAGCACTGTCGCTGTCGCTGGTCGCGTGCTCTTTGACAGGTCAGCGGTCGCGCATGCTCATGCAAAAAAGACCCCTGTTCCTTTAAACAACTTCTGACTGCTTCAATAAGCATTGTATGTGTAAAAGTAAGGACATTTTAGCCTATTAATCATTCTTACTTGGAGGATGATCCAGCTGAACGAAAAGTGCCTGCACTGCGTAAACAGCTTGGATTTCCAGACTAACGTTGTCATCCATGTATTTTTGAAGGAGAGGCTTTCTCTCCTTCAGGATGTTAATGTTACATTTGCAGACGCCTCCATCTTCTGTTAAAGAAGGAAACCAAAAATGTGAACACTCTTAAATGGGCTAGGGCACGAAGACATTGCTGTGTTAGTTCAATCCTGTGCTTAAGTCAATACTTAGCGCCTTACCTTAAAAGGTCCTGTAACGATATGAACAAGATATGAACCAAATTTCATCAGGAAGCACTTCCCATAACAGTTTTTTTGCATTTTTTTTTTGCAGGCATATTATTAAAACTACTGCATTACATGGCAGATTTTTACCCCAGTGTATGAGTCATTCACAAAGGGAGGTATGCACTACGTTTTCATGAACAAAAAACTTAACAGACGAAAATACCTCCTTGACATTAACCATGGGCAACTCCTGCTCCCTGTGTTTTTGATACAGGGAGGCAGAGTGACAGAGTGGACGCGTGGTTAGAGTGCTTGACTTGAAATTTAGAGGCCCCGCAGTTCAATGCCCGCTCTACCGCTGGATAGATAAGTTTCTAAATAGTCCCGAATTCAATCCCTCGGACACTGCAATAAACAGCCAACTGGTTTGTCTCCGCCCAGTTGGGATTCTTATCATTTTTTTTATATTACTGGTTTCTGAACTAGTTTTTGAACCATAGTGCAAGCTACTGGATTACCAGTAAACGTGTAATCCAACATGAGCATGGCATAAGTAATTACACATAATTTGTGTTATTATAAAAATGGTAAATTCTCAACAGCAAACCAGCCTACATAGTAGAAAGTGGAGTATCAGGGAATATGGAGCCTGTGTTAAGAAAAATAAAAAAACACAAAAGAACGTAATGTCACAAATATCGATGAGTAGCGAAACAAAGTGCAAAGAAAGGAAAGTTTGTAAACAACATTACCTCTCTCCATTGCTCCTTCACAAACAACTGTTACTAAGGCCCTAATAAATGGAGGCGCCTTTGCATCTTCCGAGGAAACATTCCTCTGCAGAGAAAAAAAAACAAGAAATAGGAATGCCGGTAAATGTGTGAATTACGAAGAAAGGTAAGCCTGAGGAATGATAAGTAAGGTAAAATTTAACAATAAAATAATTTAAAAACCATTTGAAACATAAGCACGTAAAACGTTCTTGGGCTGTTGTATTGCACTTATGGACCGTAATACTTAAATAAATACCTCTTATTAGCCATGTTAAAAAAGTTCGCCATGTTAAAAAAGTTTATTCGATCAAAACTAAGAGCACTGTAAGTTTTAGCTCTTTAATTAACGCTGGAGTATTTGGAAACCGGACGCTGCGTATGTCTAGAAGTCGTTTCCATCTTTCCTCTGTTTGTTCTTGAGAAAAAACACTGCAAAAGGAAAAGAAGCTTTTCAAGGTAAGTTTGTTGTCATTGTCGAAGGATTTGCTCGTTAATTGTTTTTGGGAAAACCTCTCTTTCTGCCAGTTCATTCTCGTCTTCAATTGTGATCTGCGTTAAAACTTTCAAACACTGACTAGAATTCTCTTCCTCGGTAAGGTTACGATTCAGTTTCTACAACAGCTTCGTTCTCATTAAAACAAAGCTAGGTCCTCAGGGTTTACATACATATTTCAAAGTTTATTCGATGGAAACTAAGAGCACTGTAAGTATTCACTCGTTAATGTGACGCTGAAGTCTTTTGAAAATTGGACATTATTGCGTCTGGCTCGAACTCGCTTCTACCTTTCTTTCGTTGGTCTTTGAAAAAACACTGCAAATGGCAAAGAAGCTTGTCAAGATGATCGGGTGCAGGTATGTTTGTTATCATATTTGTTGAAGGAATTACTCATTTTCTCTTAGGCAAAACGTCTCGAATCACTGCCAGTCGTTTTTCGTCTTCTTAACTGTGTACTACGATAAAATTTTCAAACACTGACTAGAATCCTCTTCGATAAGATTACGAGGTAGTTTCTTCATCGCCTTCGTTCACAAATAAACACAGTTTAAAATGTTGAAGGCCAAAGTCAACATCCAAGCACTCAAGGTTGACAGGCGTCTTATAACTTTATTTAAACATTTTTTCCGAGGTAAAGAGATTTAGACCTCCGAAATGAGCATTTTCTTTGAAAAATTTTGGTCCGTATAACAAGTTACGGACCGCAAATTGACCAATCGCATGGTGAAAACAGACTCAGCCATATAATAAAAGCTTTTATCACTTAGGTAAACACTTAAGTATCCCCATTTTACTCAAGTTTCAGACTAATATATAGCTTGAAATTGTACAGAATTTATTATTGCTGTACATGAAATCAATGAAGTAACAAAATAACGGTTAAAAACGTGCAAGCTGCGGACACTTGAGTCTATCTTGATTGCTGCCGATTCAATTTTCTTTGTCTTGCCTTCAGCATGCAAATTCAACCAATTTTTTAAATAGAAGAATGAACATCAACATATGAAACTCAGAGAGATCAAAATCATTGGTTGTAGGAGAATTAAAATCTTTACTGAAACTACAGCAGTAAGTGTGCGTGATGTGGTTGTGCGCGCAGATTGCACGTAAAAAGTCGCTAACTTTGCTCCTTTTACAGTTCGGTGACAGAATGAAACCTCCTAGCGTTTACGAGATTAATAGCACTTGTTTTTCGGACTTCTAAAAACACAATTATGCATAATTCCACGTTTAAAGTCAATAGCTAAATATAACATAGCTTATATTGCGAACCTTCAAGATATGTTTTTTGTACAGCTGGAACTTTTCACCAGCTATGAAACAGTAACATGTACCGTTTGCAGTTGAATAAGATCGCACATTTTTAAGGCAGCAGCCACATAAAAATATGAACCCTTTAAAAGTATATCACTGCCCTTTAGTCAAACTAAAAGATTGAAAAATGTGAAGGACCAAGATGAAAGTCTTAAAAGTCGCTTTGTTTGATCTTAAGCGATGTAATTTTATGACTCCAAAATCTCATTGGTTCCTTGATAATATATAGATTTAGCCACGGCTAAAAGCGAAGCTCCCATTGATAAATTTATAACTTAAATCAAACAACAATTTTGTGTTCCACAAATCAGTTAACTTAAGGGCACATTCATGTGACTTTTGACGGAAAAGGTAAGTGATTTTGGAGTGAAACAAATCTTGTATCGAGTTGATATAGCCTTATATGTACACCCAAAAAATAGTCTTCGGTCACATTTAAGAGCAATAATGGCTCTTGATCACAGTAGATAAGGCGTGGAAAACAAATTCTTGGAAAACAAATCAGGTCGAATTTTTTGCGTTCGACAAGTTTACAAATTCTTGCCAATAAATCTGGGTGCGTGCAAACCAATCTTTTATTTATTTATTTTTTTATACACCACATCTGAGGAGAAAGAGTACCACGAGGCGCTGTTTTTATCATACAGACCTCGTACAAAATGCAGTATTTCACAATTTTTCAAGACAAATTGAATTCATTCAATATTCAGGACCATCGAAGCAAGCGTGGACTTTTAATTAGCGAAACCGTTCAAAAAATTTCCAAAATCATCTATACGGCCAGCCGGTTCTAACTTTTGACAAGCGCCAAATTTGCGAAGAAATTTTAAAAGAGTTACGCTTCAACGTGATAAAGAATTTATTGAGTCTATTTTTTATTAATGGTTTTATAACGATGTGTAATCTTAAAAAACCTTTGATACGCTCGGTATTTTGAGTACTCCTGCAAGCGATGTTTTTGAACGGCTGAAAACAAACGGAAAAGCGATGAAAATTACACTTTTGAGACTACCAACAATCAATAAAGAAATACAATTCGGTAGAACATTTACAGAGACAACAATTTTCATTCACGAAAACAAATGAGTATTTAAGTGTCTCTAAGAATCCTCAGGTCTTTACTAAGATTAAAGATGAAGTTTATGTTTTAAGCCGCCGGTTTCCCGGTGTTTGCTGTTTTCAAAGATGAACTCACGACAAGAAAGTCGCTCCAAGCTTTCTTTCTACAGCCAAAATTATAACTAAGTATTCTTCGGAAAGTCTTTTCTTTCTATTTACGGTGAATTAATATCGACTAAAGGCTTTTTAAAGTTCTGTAAGCTTAAGCTTATATCAAACCTCATACTAGGTCAGATCAGTGTCTCAGTCAAATCTTAATACAAACGTGCATAAACTAGCTTCATAAACTGCGCCGCTGGACTTCATGAAATTATATTTAAATACAATAATTACTCAGGCTTACCATAATTCGAGATCCAGCTCCTGAAAGCTATCAAGTAAGGCAAGGATCGCTTGAGCCTTTATAATTCTCGTACGCATCCAGCAAGGTGAAAAACAAAAACGATGCCATTCGAAATCGGATTAGCGGCTTTGACAAGCGACGCATTTCTCGACCAAAAACCCAACAAACAAACCAGCCATGAATAAGAGAACACTCTTGATAGCAGCTGTATTTCATTTTGTACATCCAGTGGAAAAAGACAGTTAAAAACATCACAAGTTGACTCAAACTCTGTCAGCTTCAGCTGTCAAAGTAAACAACTTTCAAGATGCTGCATAAATTTTATGCATGAACTCACCTGTCAAATTTTAACCAATCAGAGCATAAAAATTGGACGTGGAGCGTGATCAACACGTGACCATGGTAAGAAAAGGTCTTCCCTTGGTCTTCCCCCCCTGTATTTTAAAAAAACTGGCTGAATTTTTGCGTCTGAGGTCAGTTTGAAATCAAAATCTTAATAGTGCGGGACGATACTGACATAAACACAACATATTTGATGTGAATTTTAAAAAAAGTAAACGTGAGCCTGCGATCATTTGAAAACGAGTAAATTGTCAGCGGATAACTTCAAAAAAACACTCGACCTTGATGGGTCGACACCTGAGCCCGCGATACGGTCAGGTGATACTGGTCAGCGGATACCCTGTTTTGACAGCTGTCAATTGATGACAACATTGATGTGCAGTCAGCTTTCTCCTGGGCTCCCAACCTAGCTAAAAAGTGTGAGAGTAAACATTGGTATTCCTGTGGTGCGGACGGACGGTCGGTCGGTCGCTCGGTCGGTCGGTCACGTGATTACCAAATTTTCTGGGATGGGTAGATTTATTTACCCATGGTGCTCCGCAGGCGCGCTTCGCGCACGGAGCTCCGCTATCATTTATGAATACAGTAGCTTGAACGTTTTTGGCCCACCAACGTGCAACAGAGACAAACATACAAACATACTTAAAGCCAACGATCAGGCGTTATTTTTTTCCGACAGAGCGAGAAAGTCTGCGGACGGCCGAAGGGATGAAGGACTGCCTGATCGCTGGTTAACATACTTAAAAGAAACATACGTCATTAGACCACTGACATAATTCAATAAACTTTCACGTGTCATTTCACTTACATCAATCCAATTGAACACTTCATCATTTTTTGCTTTTCTTCTTAATATAAGAGTCCTAAGTTCTTCTTGTATTCTAGCAAAATGCTGCTTAGATGAACCAGTATTAAGAGGTGACTTGCCTTGTCCGAGGGCAAACTCTATATTCTAAAGAAAAAAAAAAGGAAACTGACCAATAAAAAAGGAATGGAAATAAAAGGGAAATACTAGTATATTAAATATAACAAAAAGACAAAGTCAAATTTCCTATCACATTTGTCATTCTATGCAAGCCATATAATATTTCTTAGTTTATTTTCACCGTGTCATTTACAAAGGCAACTTAAAGACATGCTAAACATTGGTCAGCAGAACTAAAGAAAAGCCGACAGGAACTTTCTAACCTAACTTTACTTGAAACAGAAACCTCTTGCCCTCTTTTCTTTGCAGAACGTATTAGATATTTAACCGACGTTTCAATATACGTGAAAGTTGACAAAAGCTAAAGAACACAAGTATAATATCATACAAAGCTGGTCGATTAAAAAGCACAGTCAGGGACCTTTTCATCTGATCTTCTCTTCTATGGTGCTTCATGTAGAACTTTAACATGGTTGTCTCAGGTGTACAGACTAGCAACGATTTTAAAAAATCGTTGTTGTTTCATGTACCTGGTCCTTTGCGAATTGCTTGACTTCCTCTTCATTTTCAAAGAAGGTATTTAACGACACTTCATATCTATTTAAAATTGCCGACACATCTTCCCGACTCTAGGTAGAGAAAAAAAGGATGTGATTCAGTAACTTTCAAAAAACTCAAATCTGAAGTGTCACAGCTTGTAAGCTACATGTACACTGCACGTTAGCTATGTGAACTAGGTGACATGGGCTCCAACTACCTATGATAATACAATGTATATTCAACTCACCGTGTCATTTGTGGCTGTTTGCAGCATGTATGCAAAGAGTTTTGCAGCCTTGTGGTTTGGCACATATCTTAGTACACATTTAAACAATTTATTCAGGTCAATATTTCCATCAAAGGCAGTTGGACCCAAGAGCTCTCCGAGGTAATTCCAAAAATGTGGAACGTCTATTTCTATGTCTTCAGCATATTCAAGGATTTGTTCAAGCCTGAAATCAATAATAATAATAATAATAATAATAATAATAAAAATAATAATGACAATAACAATAACAATAAAAATAACAACAATAATAATAATAATAACGAAACAGTTGAAAGAAACTTTTGAATTTTGACATTTTGACAATTTGAATTTTGACAGTTCTTTTTTTTATTGAAATGAAATGTTTTTAATTCGAATAAATTTTTCTTAGCGAAATTAACTCTTTCTAAGCTAAATTAAGTGCTTTTTGAATCGACAGGACATGTAAATAGTGTTTTGAATGAATAGTTTTTTCTTTTTGTCAAGCGAATTAATTGTAAATAGGATTTTAATACTTAGCGTTGTTTAAAAAAAATTGTAAATAGGATTTTAATAGTTAGCATTGTTGTCAATAAAATTTTTTCATAAAAAAAAAATAATAATAATAACAGTAAAATGAAATAACAAAGTACGATTTCCTTTTCAGAATCACACCCGGCAATGAGCACTTCCCACTAGAGGACAAGCCGCATAAACAGACACCTAACTGTAGTCCTGGTAATTTCAACATACCACTAAAAACCTGCATTTTTAATCTCCCGTAAGCAAACACCTACACCTAGCACTGTATAGCACCAAATTAAGGATCTCACTCTTACAGACTGCGTCCCTGATTCCTTGCGTTGAGAAGCCTCCAGACACGAAGGTTATAGGAGGTGCTTTTATCCACCTCACTTTGCATGATTATTATCTGTCGTACGAGTTGGTTCTAACTTGTTAGTCAATGAAATAAAATTATCTCCATTGTCCATTCACATCAAAGCTATATTAGGGAGTTCTTTTACTGTGTTGCAAGAAATGGGTTCAATGTGGAATCTAAAGATGAATGGGAAGCGCACCGCTTTTAATAATAGATGGCTTAATTCTGGACTCCAGCGAGACAAAATTGTAATCAAAAAATACTTTAAGCGGTTTTTTTTTCCAACAACTGTAGAAAAGTACCAAGAGTTGCCCATGGGGAAGACGTAGCGTTTATTCTAGGTATTAAGGAAAACTGCACAAATCGTAAATTAGACCCTTCCCAGGTCTAGAGAGAACGCCTTAAACTCAGTGAAGTTGCCAATAAGAAGTTAGAACCAAACAAACCGTCTGTAAAATTTTGCGACTTTGTTGAGCAATATCTTCGCTCTCTTTGGACGCATCACCTTTCAACTTGGTAGGTTGCCTTATTTTAAGGCCCTCTTTCCAGCAGTGTAAATGGATATTACTGATCTTTCAAAAAAAAAAACCGTGGAAGGGTCTATTATTTAAAAAATATTCACGCTTTTGTAATTGCGTTCGAAGAAAGGAGAACGCATATTATTCGAGTCATTATTCTCAAGGGAAAAACAAAGTTCCGCGGGTATCGACTTGGAAGCCATTTTGATTTCACGGTTTGGGCGCCATCTTGGACTGGCAGATTTGGCCTCGATCTTACGTGATTATTTCTTCTCGGTCGGAAACTGGTATCTATTTCATGACTCCCTCGCCTACCGGCGACTTTGATTACTGGAGACGCTTCTATATCAGTTATTTTTTCTAACAGTTTTTGTTGTTCGCTTTCATTTCAGTTTCTTTTATGGGAAGGCTCTATTCTACGGGCCTATTTACATGGAGGTGGGGGAACCCCAGGTAGGTGAGGTAACCCGCGGCGGGTCACCCCACAAATCATGTAAACGTGAACAAATTAAAATGAGAGATTTTATGGAGGGGCGGGTAACCACACCTAAGCGGGTTACCTCACCTACGGTACCTGGGCTCCCCCACCTCCATGTAAATAGGCCCTAAGGTAGCCAGACGTCTAGATATTATGTCAAATGAGTTCAGTCGTTCGGCACACTGCATTTGTTGAATAAAAGAAAACCCACAGTTAAACAAGCTGAAAACCCACTATGCTAATGGCGACTCTGGCGCAAAACACTCCAAATGCCTAGTCAGCCCTACATGCAAAAATCCCATGATCAAAAAGCTGCATATAAATGGTAGTTAGCACAAGTTTAGGCTATGTAGGTTCTTAAATAGGTTTTTATTTTCTGAAGAAAAAAAATACAACGTAGCTAAGAGTATTTAGTGGTTCTAGTAGCTTATTCCTCACATAAAGTGTGCATATCAAGTTAGAAGTAATGTAACAAATGTATTTTCTGCTGTTATTCCAAGTAATTAGTCACAGTTGTTTTCGTTTCACACCTGCCGCAACCACTATTGAGCATTCTGTTTTACATACATGTTCTGATTGGCCAGTCATTAGTATTTAAAATCTCCGATGTCTCCTGAGTACCATTCACGCTCGCGGTTCCATACAGTCTATTCATCTTTCTGGTTTGCGCCCACCCCCACCCCACCTCCCCTCTACTACAGGTTTCGTCATTGCTTTTACCTTTAAGGCCGTAGAGACGCTTCTGGCGACTTCTTAAGTTGTTTCAAATGCGGCATATTTGGACACTGGGCCAAGGACTGTAGATACATGTTCTGGCCGGGAAGCTACCTGTCACCTAGCTACAATACTTGCCCTGGAATCTCCTACAACAAGC